ATCTATGCCTCTCTCCTAAGCACCATACATCATTGTCCATTAATCCATTTGTCCTCTTCCACCTCGGCTCGTTTCACTGCTCCCGCTAGTCTTGGCTACTTCTCTTTCTATTTCCTCTCTCAATTTCCCTCACCCGACTTTAGGCGCCTCCGACGTTCCGTTTCCCTCCCAATTCTTTACACCCCAGTTGGTCTGATGCCTCTTGATGGTCCGATCTTTAGAGTTGTCCACGCAGACTCGCAAGCCAGACGCAGTTCAACTAGTGGCTGTATGGATGCTGTTACTGATGAGGATGCAGTAAGCACAGATTAGAGCTGGAGCGAACAGAGTTGCTCAAAATTCGGCCAAGATGGATACCTATTTTTCACCAACCTCTCCACGACGCCCTTGTTTACAATTTCTTGCCTTGTACTTTGCCCTCTGCCCGAAATGGACTTGTCTAGCTGCCAACTGGAGACAGAGCACACGTTGCCCACGGTCTCTGGCACCGCTCATCCCGACGGCCACATTCTTATGGCAACCGAAAGGGGTCGAATTGGTGATTGTCCCACCTGTCTTGTTCCACGCCCCACCGGTGCCCACCCCCTTCGGGACGGCAACGCCTCGGACGTGAGGCCCACTCTGTCTCTAGGCCCCCAGCGTCAGTACCGCTTCCGTCTCCATGATGCCATGACACATGAAGTCTGCCGGATGGTCGTCGTATGAAGAAGCGCAGTTTGCTACGTCGATGATCTCTCGTTCTCACAGTCAAGGCCAGTCGGCTGTGGCGGTCTGCCAGACTATCTTCCGAGTATGCCCTTCTGGCGCTCTTTCATTTCAGGTTCCCCTCGGTTTCTCTTGTTGCCCTCAAGCATCGACATCCTCTTGTGTTGGTGAGAAAGAAAAGGGTATTTTTAAGGCCAACTCAAACATGTTTATTCTATGTTATTTTTAGAAAGCCCATCTTCATATGCGCCAATACTACTTGCATATTTTGTTCAGAAATTGATGTCACTTTTAGTTCCATCTGATCGCATCGCGAGGGCTTAGCCGACACGAGAGAAGTGAAGATTACTTATTGTGTATTTCACACTATTTTGATTCATTTTACATTAGAAATTACTTTTTAGCTTTCATGGCAATCCTCTGATATTTTTGTTATACAATTGTGAAATATCAGATTTTCTTTCTATTCTATCCCTAGCTATTTTCATAGGCCATTTTTTCAACTATTTTTCACTCCTTTGGCGCCTTTTGTACTTTCATTTCCTCCTTAAAACTCATTTATTTCGCCAGCCTTATTTCGACCGCAATGCTTTCAAAATTAATTTTTGCCACCAGAAAAGCCTCTTTCATCATTCGTAAAGCAATCGATGTTGCCAAACCTTTATAAATCTATTATTTCTGAGCTATTTTCTTTATCTATTTTTATGTCAAATATGAGCTCACTTTGTTTTTTTGGGCACTATTATTGTGATTAAACTCCACATCCTTGTACCTCTCTTCACACTTGAAGTCTACTTTTCTGCGTTCTTACAAGAGATCTCTTCTATTAAAATCCAGTCCCACCTTGATTTCACTGTCGGCCTGTCTATCGATCTTTCTGACTATCCACCTTGTAATCAGTCTTGACTCATATTCCACCCATCCGAATTTATATTTGCGCATGCATGTTTCTTACCACCCATTTTACTGCCCATCTAACGATTTTTGGCCTTAGAGATATGCCATATTATCTTCATTTCCATCTCAGTTAACATTTCTTCCGAGAAATGCACTTCTTTAGTGGCCTACAGTTACAGAATAGTAGCAATCGTAATATCTGAGTAAACATATATATATATATATAGAGTGATATTATTTTATTAATATTGTCTCCCTATTGTATTTCTGCCTGTCGATCTATGATATTAGATCAAAGCGCAAAAACACCCGCTATTTTTTTACTTAACATATTACCTCCATTCCTGATTCATCTCGCATCTTTGTATATACCAACATTAAGCTTGGGCACTGCCCTTTAGATGAACTCAAACTATCTATATCATCATACACACTGGCATACACGCATACATTCCTACCAGCGAACCCAAATAGACACATTAATATGAACCAAACACCTCGCATAGATACATACTAATTATCAATCTTATTTGAAAATACTTATTTAATTTATTCATTTGGAGCACTTTATTTTTATGTTATACAGAGGCCTGTTATTTGCATACTACTTTTATCACCGGAGTTCCTCTAATTGGTGGCAGAAAAAAGACGAATCAATTCCAGAGAAAGGGCCATGACGATGAAATGTGGCAAGAGATGAAATCGTGTCATTGTAATTTTTATTTGCTTTGAAAAGCTGGGTATAACGAATCAGTAGGTATACCTCGCTGCATCAGAAGGAAGATTTTCTTTGACTTTGGTTTCTAAGCCCTCGAGCCAATTTTATACAACCCCAATCAATCCGTGTTGAGTTTTGTCCGTCCTGCTGTACCAGATATCAGCAGAGTGAGAAATAACTTATTAGCCGAGACAACACCATTGGCTCAGAAAATGTTGGGGAATTATCTTAATGAAGGGCCTAGCTTTCGGGCGAGGATGTAAGAAAATCCAACTAAGGACAAATCTCTGTTAGCTCCAAATTCAAGGTCCAATAATATTAATGGATTTTTGGAAACCCAATCTGTACTTCTATTCACCCAATTAAGGCAAGATTGCTTATCAATCATCATGGAGGATTTTCTGTGA